TGGATTCGCAATAACCAGAGTAAACTAAGAGCACATTATTATCAAGGTCTCTTGGATTCTTTCATGCGAGGTGATACAGATCTAAAGATGACTGGAAAACATATTATTTTGGCTGCTTCACATACTGGCAGCCCGCGTTATAAATACGAAAACTTCCAGGACGCTATGGCAATTTGTCGATGCGTTGGATATCCAGATTTGTTCATTACTTTCACGTGCAATGCTAATTGGCCTGAAATTCAAGAAATGACAAAGCTGGTCAGATCAGGGACAAGAAAGGATCCTAACAGAGCAGACATAATAGCTAGAGTTTTTAAGATGAAACTAAATCAATTCTTGGCTGAAATAAGGGACAAGAAGATCTTTGGGAAGCTATCAGCGTGTAAGTAAAATTACTCTATTTCATAATTTATTTATTTTGTTTTGTCTTTTGTTTGCCAACACATTAGCATTCTGTTCATATAATTAATTTCGTTTGCCCTTCATTTTATCTTCTAGATATTGTGGCAATTGAATGGCAGAAGCGTGGACTTCCTCATGCACATATATTGTTATTTTTATTGAAGATAAGTTTTTGGACATTCCAGCGATCGACTCTATTATATCCGCGGAAATTCCTCACCCGGATGTTGACCCTGAAGGATATGCTGTTGTCTCTAATTTCATGTTACACGGACCTTGCGGTGCCGCAGCTCCCAAATGTTCTTGCATGGTCAATGGAGCTTGCTCAAAGCATTTTCCGAAGCCATATTGTAGCCAGACTGTGATGGATGAACATGGCTATGTTAAGTACCGTCGTCGTCAAAATGGTCGAACCTTCACTGTAAATGGCATTAACCTTGATAATCGTCATGTAGTCCCATACAATAGATATCTTTTGCTGCGGTTCCAGGCTCATATAAACGTCGAATTTTGTAATAAATCAAGGTACGCATGGTACGCCTTTATGGTAATAGACCTACACATACAACCTGCTGCCTCTTTGACTAATACTTCTATAATGGTGCCATGATCAATTTTAGGGCTCTCTGCTAAGATAGAGCGAGAAGTGTAGAATTGGTCGTTTACATTAATGTTAGATATAAGATTGGTTATTATGCTTGGCTGGATATAATATATATAGCTTTTTTCTGTTTTCTCCACGTTAGCAATAAGCAGGGGAAGGAAACAGAGTCTTATATTCGTATAGCATTTTCATTATTTATAAAATTGATATACATGGTTTACTTATATTATTGCCTTACCTTTATATTCGTCCTTTCACTTTGTCCAAAATTTCATGCTTCTGCTTCTGTTTTTTTTTTCTTTCGTCATTATAAAATTTCTAAATTATTTTTGACAGGGCTATAAAATATTTGTTCAAATATATTAACAAACCTGAAGATCTTGCAATGGCAACATTAAGTTCCAATCCTCCTACTGCTGCTGATGATAGCCAACCGAGAGTAGTTGCTCGCATCGATGAAATCAAAGCATTCATGGATTGTCGCTATATCACACCTGGAGAGGCATGCTGGCGGCTATTCAAATTTGACGTTTATAACCATTCTCCTTCGGTTCTTCGAATGTCCTTCCATTTACCAGGTGAAAATATGGTTTATATGCATCAAAACACAAATATCAATGCTGCACTTCAGGCTAACACATCGATGCTATTAGCTTGGATGAAAAGGAATTCTGTTTCAATTGAGGCTAGAAAGTATACTTTTGCTGAATTCCCACAACACTATGTTTGGGATTCAAAAGTAAAGATGTGGCAGCCACGCTCACAAAGACCGAGCATTGGTAGATTGTACTACTGTTCTCCATCAGCAAAAGAGAGATATTATCTACGGCTTTTGTTGTATGTGGTTAAAGGTTGCCGCAGCTATGAGGAGATCAAAACAAGCAACAATGTTGTCCATGACACATTTCAGCAGGCGTGCTATGCACTTGGTTTGTTATCGAAAGATACTGAATGGACGCAGTGCTTGGAAGAAGTCTCTTTCTGGGGTTTTGGTTATAAACTTCGTCATCTCTTTGTGACTATAATTATTCATTATGCAGTGTCTGATGTTGGCTCTTTGTGGGAAAAGAATTGAAAACTCTTAAGTGATGACATTTTACATTCTCGAAGAAGACAACTAAATATGCCGACATTAGAGCTATCAGATGACGCCATCAAAGATTTATGCCTGATAGAGATTGACAAACTACTGCATAGGTATTGGAAATCCCTCACAGATTTTCCTGATTTGCCTATTCCAAATGAACATCGAGCTACTGGTTATCTTAATCGGATAATTGCTGAAGAGTTAAACTATGATAGTGTGAAGTTGCAAGAGGAGTTCAATGCCATGTATCCAAAATTGAATACCGAATAGAGGACATTTTCCATCAAATATTGGAATCTGTTGATCAGGATCAAGGCAAATGTTTCTTTGTAGACGGGTTTGGAGGGTCGCGCAAAACATTCTTATGGCGGGTACTCTGTTTGCAGTTGAGAATGGCAAAAAAAAATTGTTTTGTGTGTTGCTTCTTCAGGTATAGCATCTTTACTAATGGTTGGAGGGCGGACTGCACATTCCTGATTTCACATTCCTACTGATTGCCACTCTCAATCAACATGTCATATTGAACAAGGTACTGAATTGGCTGAATTGATTACTCACACTTCTCTTATTATATGGGATGAAGCACCTATGGCACATAAACATAATATCGAGGCCTTGGATAAAACCTTGAGGGATATTTTGCAATTTAGATATGAGAATAGTAATGAGAAGGTGTTTGGCGGCATGACAATGGTGTTCGGTGGTGATTTTAGGCAAACCCTTCCTGTTATTGTCAAAGGTACACGAACTGAAATAGTGAACTCTTCCATTAAGCGATCCTACTTATGGTCTTCGATGACGGTACTAAAACTTACACAAAATATGAGATTATCACTATCATATTCATCCATAGTTGAGAGAACAGAAATTTCTGATTTTAGCAAGTGGATATTAAGCATTGGGGATGGTGAGCATTCGAATGTTTTGGGGAATCAATCATTGCTATACCTACAGAAATGCGCATTGTGCGGAGGGAAGATGCTATCTCTGATGTTGTCCGAGCAATATATGAAGATCTTTGTTTGCATATAGGTGACTCCAAGTACTTTGTCAGTCATGCTATACTGGCACCTCATCATGAGATGACTTCGGCTATTAACAGTCATGTGCTTCATAAATTCCCCGGTGAAGTGGTTTCCTACTTCAGTTCTGATTTGATAGAAGTTGATCCTGGCAATCATAATGTTACAGAGGGTGATTATTCTGTTGAGTTTCTGAATTCACTGCGTATAACTAATTTTCCACAGCATGAGTTGCAGTTGAAAGTGGGATGTCCTGTTATTCTTCTCCGAAATTTGGATCAAAGCACGGGACTTTGCAATGGAACAAGAATGGTTGTTGTTCGCATGGGTACTTGGTTTCTTGAAGTTGAAATCTTGATAGGGACACATATTGGAGAACACATATTTTTACCAAGACTCACTCTCTCAACCCATTAGAAGAGTCTGAATTTTACTTTGGTGCGAAGGCAATATCCTATATCGTTGTCATTTGCAATGACTATAAACAAGAGCCAAGGTCAAACCTTGGACCATGTTGGACTTTGCCTTCAGAAGCAAGTGTTTTGTCATGGACAATTATATGTGGCATTATCTCGAGTTACATCGAAAAAAGGCATCAAGATTTTAAGCTGCAATCCGGATGGTGAAGAATTCCGCAGTATGCAGAATATTGTTTTCCCGGAGATAGTCCAGTGATGGTAAATATGTAATTCCATCTGTGACGTGGTACACGGCTCATGATTCATTCACACTACCTTATGCTTCGTGAGTTTACCTACTCTTATGCTCCCAAAATATGCAGTAGTCATATTGATTTTGTTGTCATGGGAAATCAAGTAGTCGGCTATTCTGTCAAATCCTGTTTTCAAGCTTGCTATTATATACTAAATTCATTGGTTGTTATGCAATTAAAATCCTATGATTTAGTGACTTAAGGATTCTTCTTCGATATTTGTCAGGCTTCTCGAGAAAGACTCCATAGCTTTGTCTGACTACTGATAGGATGCGCCAAAACAGGGGTGATTTCAGCATAATTTTCGGATGTTCAGAGAATTGGTCACTTTGGGACTTCAAGATGCTTAATATGGGGTTTTTGTTATAGTAATTTTATTATGTTCAAGTGTGCAGCTCCTGGTGATGAGATTTGATATTCATACTTTTTGTATACGGCAGGAAATGAAACTGAATTTGTAGCAGATTTGTGCCTGTGCCATGTTATTTGCAATGGTCTTCACCTATTTGTGTTGTTTTCATTTTGTTATTATGTGGCCCACAACTTTTTAATTTATAAAAACAAGCACACAAATTATGTCAGATTTTCAAGTGTGCTTACTTTAGTTTTTGGAGTACTCGTGCTTTCATGTAATCGGTGGACCAATGCATGTTTATTAGTATTTAGTTAGCCTAATCCCTAATGTACTTAAGTTTTCTCATTTACAAATTCTGATATCTTTCTTATTTTGATAGACAATAAATACGAAACTTAAAATTTGGAATTTTATTAGTGTTATCAATTTCCATGGATGCTGTTCAATTTATACTTATTAATTAACAAGGACGTTAATTAATTATTTTCGACTTTAGTTGCCAATATAACATTAGAAAAATGAGCTGGTAACGAACAAACGGTAGAACAAAATCCTCCAATTTCCTTCCAAGAATCTACAACACGGGAGTATTGTTTGGCAGACGTAAGCTTCAAATTTGGCCCTGAAAATCATTTGTAAGTAACGCAATTTGTTGCGTCAATAGATGAGATTGTTTACCAATTCCTCAAGAAATTAACACAATTTTAATATATTGGCCCTTTAAGTATATTTTGGGCCTTTAAGTAGATTACAACTAAAACATGGCCCATTAGTCCAAATTCATATACACGGTGAACTCTCTTCTTTCCTAATTGAATTGAATGGTTTTTTGTTTTTCCTCTGCACCCCAACAAAATGAACCCTAGCCGATCTGAACTTCCGCCGCTTGATATGCATCATGGAGTTTGCCCACTTTCTTCCTAGAGTTCATATTCAATTTCTAACGGCAATTTGGGATCTTCCAGCACAAATCGAGGGCTCAATGGGAAGGTGGTCTATGTGGGTTGCTCCCACTATCGTCATGCCTGCGATTAATCCGAAAAATGATGCCACTCCGATTTCCCCTTCCCGCGTCCATCATTTGTCAGCAGGTTTGAGCCTCTTTATATATTGATCTTCGTACTCAGATGAAGAAACAACTAATGCCTTAAATTCCCAGGTCTCAAGTCCATCACACAGTTGCACCATGAATTTCAATCGCCTGGCTGAGTTGTCTACACAAAAATGCTTCTGGGCGTTGCAGTGTCGTGTCTCACGAAAATGGATGGTCCATAATGCCAAAACGGATGCTCTGATGGGATTGGATATGGTTCTGATTGATTCAAAGGTAATCTCATTAGCTGCTTCTCCAATCATTAGTCTGAAATCATAAATGCATCTTATTTACCGTTAACCATATCACAGGGGGATGACATCTGGGTTTGCATTCCAAAAAACTTGATCGACAAGTTCAACGAACAATTGCAAGTCTAGAAGTTCTACATCTTCAAGGGCTTCAAGGTCCAATTCACAGCTGGTGAATTCCGTCCGGTCACAAACAAGCTCTTCATCGAATTTCAGTCTGGAACTAAAGTGGAGCCATGCGAGTCTCTTCCTCAATTTTCTGCATACAAATTCAGGTTTATCTAGAACGAGGAGATACTTCCAAACCTTGGCCAGAAAATCTTCTTATTTGGTAAGTATCTTACAATTATCACCACTTAGATTCTTACTTTACGATTCAACCATGTTTCTTTATTTCTAAGATACTCTTGTGTACATTGATTAGATGCTGTTGGCGAACTATTGGTTGTCTCTCCACCTATAAAAGGCAACTCGCAGACTAGGAAAACTGTTCGAAGGGAACTCAGTCTAACCCTCCATGAGTAATGACTCTATCTATTTCATATCTATTTTCATCTGTGACCACTTCCTAAATGCAAATTTTATTGGCTTCATTGCCCAGTGGAACAAATATGAAGGTTATTGTGTGGGGAAGGGTCGGCTCCAAACTAGAGGATTTTATTCCTGCGACACCGACCGCTCCAGTTATACTGGTCATCACTTCTGTTTGGGTCATCGACTGGAATGGTAATGTGTTCATAGTACAAAACTTGTGAGTTTGATATCTGTCTAAACATATTTTTGCTCCTTGCTCATATAGAAGTTGATTTTTTTTTTTTGGTAATAGGTGAACCTGCACTATCAACTACAACAGCCACTTTAGTCCATTCAAATTTGGACATACCTAAAGTAGCTGTCATTCAGGGGGAGGTATTCATGTTAAAATCCAAGTTTTAATATTTCTTAACATACTGATTCACTTCTTCTTTACATAATAGTTTCTGTTTTGTTTGCATTTATATTTTATAGAAATCCAAATGCCGATGTGCCCATTTTGTTTCAAGAGGAACAACAGGTCATACCAGCAATTGAGCTGAGTGGTTTGACTTCGATGAAATTTATTGAAGACAATCTCGTAAATCCCATATTCAATAGACAATGTTCTCTTCTTTTTTCACCAGGCATTTGTTTCAATTTTTCTATCCCATTGCATGTTCAAATGAATGAATACTCTTTTATGTTTCAGAACAAAGTGTTCTATGTCAAATGCATGATCACAAAAGTGAATGAGGAATGGTTTTATCTTGGCTGCCCTGTTTGTCCCTCCAAACTTCATGCAGATGGGGATCACCAATTCTGCCTCAAATGCTCAAAAGTAATGACAGCAACGGCTAAAAGGTACCTTTTATTGTTTGTGATGAGAATTTGTCCATTTATTTTTACAACCCAGTGACATACATTCTTTGTATAAATTGAAGGTTCAAGATTGGGGTTTCTGTTCAAGATCCCTCTGGGGAAGGAAAGTTTGTCATATTAGATCATGCGGGTTTTGGGTATTTCGATAAAACTGCTGAACAACTCTATTTCGAGTCTTCTGACAAGGAACAAATTCTCCCTACGAGCCTCCTACAACTCGAAGGCTTGCATTTGACTTTTCTCATCAAGATTACTGAGTACAACTACTCCAAGGAATCAAAATATTTCACTGTTGTTGAAATACAGAAAGAAAAAATCAAAGATGACAACTCTGCTTCTACCAAGGTTATACTATACCTTTGTGCTTCTTTTGTTTCATAAATCTTTCCATTGGCATTCCTTTATTCCTAACAACCACGTGTTTGTCGCTGTTAGGAAGAGACAAACACATTGAAGAGAGTTAATTCATCTTCCCAATCTTTAATAACAACGACTACAGCCTCGCCTCCATCACAACAAGATTCAGCTGTCATCACTACTGATGCTGCTGATTTTGTTGGGACCAATGTGGACTCTTCTGTGCAGGAGATTGATGCGGCACAAAATGATGGGACCAATCCAGGAACTTCTACCACTAACTCCAAAAGGAAGTTTGCCGCTCTGAGTGATGTGGAGGATAACTAATAGTGTTGGTTTTGTCAACTGTTGGGAAGTTGTTTCAGTTTAGTGATGGGGATTAGAATTAATAGTGTTGGTTTTGTGAATTGTTGGGGAGTTGTTTCAGTTTTTACTTACTCCTAGACAATTACTGTTTGTTTCTATTATTGGATTTTATGACACTTACTCCTACAAGGGTCACTTTGAGCCAATTGCTTTTAATTTTTCTTGAAAACTACTTTATTTCTATTATTGGATTTTATTCCTGGGGAATGCTACAACCTACTTTGGTAGCTTTCTTAGTTTACATCTCTACCATTACCTTTGTTTTTGGGATTGTTATTTTCCCACTTTGTTGCGTCCTAAATTACTTTAGGGAAATACAAGTGATTGTGTTTGACATTCGTAAAAATTGTACCTATATTCAAACGTAGCTACTGAGAGGGTTTTATTTGGATGAGCAATACATGCATGAGCTTGAGTATGTTAAGAGTGACTCATCAGTATAAATACATTTTTATTTATTTATGAGTATTTGGACAAGTTCAATGTATTTGTAATACTTTCTTGAGTAAACACAATTTAATATTCAAACTTTTCATTTTAAACAATATAATAGTCAAACCTTTTTGAAGTGTCAACCAACGGTGAACGGACGGAAAGTTGACGATTAGGATATTAGATTATACAACTTTGTTTTCTTGTTTTGGCATTGCAGATGACTGAATATTTAGATATTCTATACCATCATGGTGGAGTAATGGACTTCTCGGGTTTGGAATCACGATATGTTGGTGGTTTTTCAGAGAAGATATCGATGGATATTGATGAAGTGTCGTACTTCGAACTTTTTTGAAGTGTCAACTAATGGTCAAACGAACGGAAAGTTGACGATTTGGATATTAGATTGTTTTCGAAAAGGTTTGGCTATTATATTGTTTAAAATGAAAAGTTTGGATATTAAATTGTATTTACCCTACTTTCTTAACATATCATCTTTTTACCACTTATCACCCCATTTGAAAGTTCTCGAAGAAGCAATTTCTACTATCTTGGTCAATATTGACCTTCATTACAACCATGTACGTAAGACTATGCATCTTCTAAGTTACAATCATGTACGCATGACTATAAATTTTCTAAGTTTTGGTAACGTGCATTTGATTTAGATTGAAAATATTTGTATAACTATGAATTTTCCGGCCAACGGGCCGGGCCCAAGCTAGTTCCAACAAAGGCCAACGAGTAAGGCCCAATCTCTAGCTTGGGAACGTAAGCTGACTATTCTCATTATTAATATGTTGAGAAATTATGTATTATTAGCCACTGAGTTCTAATAATTAATGAAAATACACGAGTTTAAAAATAATAATAACCAACGGATAAAAATTTAATAATGTATTTTTTCTTAAAAAGCTTTTCGTTGCTATCTCAATTCCTACTTCTTTAGGGCTCGTTGTCAATCCCCTAATTGAGAATGATCACATGGAGAATACCACAATTAAAAAGCTCATAGATAGTTTTATTAAAAAAAAACTACTAGATTGATGTCATTTTTTTCATTGAGTCAGATGTTTTTATTAAATTTCAAGCTCTAATACAATGAAACACACCTCAATGTGAGGGCGCTTGACCAACTCAATCCTACATACATTACAATCTACTAGATTGATGTTATTTTTCAAATGATGTTGTAATAATTTTATTTATTGGTTAATGTAATAATTTTTATTTTAATAGATTCAACAAAAAGATTTTGGGCTCGTGTAATCGGGCCTCTGGTATTTCAGGGTTGGACGTGCTCACTCTATTCTAGGTTTGGACGTGGTTCTTTTGATCATATAATTTTACTAGCTTTGTACCCTGCCCGTTGGCCGGATGCATTTCATCAATAGTATAAATAAAAATAGAATTACTAAAAAGGTATTCAAAAAACAATATACAACATAGAGTTTTCTGACAATCCACCTGATTAATCAACGAAAGTCTTTATCGAAAGTAAAAATTGAAAACATAACTCATGTAAGAGAATCAAATTTCGTTCTTTTTAACATCGTTGCAATTGCTCTGTCCTAGCAACATCATCTCCACCAGCTTGCAAATTTCAAACATCATTTCAATGCAAATAGAACTCACTTTGCCTAAATCATGACCATTGTCCGAGATTTTCTCTTTATCTCCATCATTGAAACATCGATCTCCACAATGAATAGCCATTTTTTTCTTCTCAACAACATCGCTGTAAAAGATTGAGTAGGTGGCAATCCAATCTCATGAAGAAGAGAGTTCAATTACCTTCACCATATCCAATAACTCCACCAACTTGTGATTTTGCCTAAGATTGTTAGTGAGGTTTCCCAACCAAGAGAAACAATCCATGCGTTCATATTCGTACCTCACGTCTAAGTCTTAGTTAAGCACTCTTAATGTTTAGTTTAGATTATTGTGAATACTTTTTAGACAAAATGAAGTACATAATCCTCCAACAAATTTTCTTTTATCTTTGTCAAACAAACTCAACTCTAAATAACAATTTTCCAAGGATCCTTAACTGTTAGTCGTGGTCAATTCTATCCTCCACAAATATCATCTGTCACATCAATTTCATACATATTGTTTTCATGGATCGGTCAGACCGCAAAAATTACTTACTGTCTTTCAAAGCTGTTTTGTACAAATATTAAGAAATATTCATATTTATGGGCAATTTACAATATACCCATGGGTTTTACCCGGTACCTATGTAATGCACATTGAATATTTATTTTATTTTTGTTTGATAAGAACAGAGAAATTGCCTATACCATTTGTTATTGGTTAGATCAAGAATACTATTGCACTAAATAAATTGTCGAGTACTATTGTATAAGTCAAGATTATTTCATAAGTAACAATAATTTTCTTATCTAATTTGTATGACTTTAGAAGATTATAAGGTCCTTTATTAATAAATTTTTGGACCCAAAAGGTATTATTTTCTTAATAATTGGGTAGGGGGAAAAAGCTATATTAAGGGGATGAATCTAGTGGCGTTCAATAAATTGATTTCTTGTTGGTTTGGATAAACTTGGACAAATCCGTCGTGTGCTTTAGCAAAAACATTGCAGTGCCCGATCAAGAGTTCCTAGCACAGATTCTGGGGGTGGGGGCGGTAGGCGTCCAGGATAAATATCTGGGGCTCTCTACGCTGATAGCCCGTTCTAAAATGGCTACTTTTCGATACCTAGAAGATAAGCTCCTGCAACGCCTACAGGGGTGGAAGAGAAGGACATTGTCATGGGCCGCCAAGGAAGTCTTGATTAAATCCGTATCCTTGGCACTTCCATTGCCTGTTATGTCCTGTTTTAGACTTCCTCTCTCCTTGTGTCCTCTCTTAGATAAGCATGTGGCTAGGTTTTGGTGGAATGTGGAGGAGGGCCAATCTAAAATTCGGTGGTTATCGTGGAGGAATATGTGCAGAAGCAAGCATGATGGGGGGCATGGAGTTCCGTCGTTTTGAGATTTTTAATCAAGCCTTGTTAGCCAAGATTGGGTGGCAGATCATTACTGAACCCCACTCCCTCTTAGCCCAAGTCTATAAAGGAAAATACTACCCTACGGGTACATTCCTCACGGCTAAAGCACGTTCCCGGCCGTCCTGGGGTTGGCAGAGTATTCTGTATGGTAGGCAGTTGCTTGAGAAAGGGTTAAGGTGGCAAATCGGTAATGGACGGACAACTTCTCTACTCACTCCTAACTGGATTCCTCATCTCCACCCTTCTCCCCCGCATTTTAACCCCGTGGTTCTTCCGGTAGGAGGCGAGCTACGAGTGGCGGAAGTGATCTGTTCGGGGGAAGGGCGATGGTGTGATTCAAAACTCAGACAGTGGTTTGATCCTCCTACCTGTCGTGCCATCAAAGCTATTCCGCTCCCAAGGTAATGTATAGAGGATCGTCTTGTCTGGAATGACATAGCAGATGGGGATTTCTCGGTTAAATCGGCATATCACCTTGCGTTCCGGTTGGATCAACAGAACAATCGATGTAAAGCTACGATTAGTTGGATGGACATGCCCAGCTGGATCCGGTTATGGGATGTCAACATTCCGCCCAAGCTTAAAGTGTTTGTTTGGCAAGCTTTTAATCGAATTCTCCCCACAACAGAGGCACTAAGACATAAAGACGTGGAGGTCCATCCTAGGTGTCCTGTCTGTTGGGATGCAGAGGAAACCATGGAACATTTGTTTCTGGATTGCCTGGTTGCTTGGGCGCTGTGGGATTACTCTGGGCTGGAATATTTGGGTCAGGGATTGCCTCGCCATACCTTCCCGCTTTTCCTTAAACGACTGCTAGCTCTTACCCGATAACCGGATATGGTTATGACTGTGATTGCTGTACTTTGGCGGATCTGGCGCTCTCGTAACTGGGTTGTCTTTGAAGGCAAACAGTTCGGAATTCCGGCTTTAATGCGGCAATACAATCAGCAGGTGGATGAGTGGTTAAGAGTGTCGGTTGAGCAGGACACCCCATTTTCTGGTCCAGTGCTGCCACCTAGGGGCACAACAAGTGGTAGTTCGGTTATTTGCATGTGGGATGAGGCGACGCGACACGGGTCTCACTCGCCAGGAGGAGTGGTGCTTATGATTCGGGGAAGAGATATTTTGATGGCTCGCGGGGGCCAATTCCAATGCATTGATGACCCGGTGGTGGTGGAGGTACTGGCGCTGCGTGAGGCAGTATGGCGGTGTCTTGAGAATGGATTCACTGAAGTTTGCTTTGAGGGTGATGCCAAGGTAGTCATTGATAAAATCATTCGGGCGGAGATTGGAGATACTCGGATGTAGAGGTGGCAATTTCAATCCAATCCACCAATCCAATCCATCAATCCATTAAAAATATCCACCTAATCCAATCCATTTAAATCCAATCCATTTTATCCAAATCCAATTGGATTGGTGGATTCATGGATTGGATCCACGGATCATTGGCAAATTACGGTATAGTACCTATAATTTTTATTTTTTTACATTTTAGTACCTAAAATTTAATTTTTATACGAAAAATATCAATGGAAAATTACGTTTTGGTACCTAAAATTTTTCATTATAACATTTTAGTACCTAAACTTTTTACATTTTACATATTGGTCCTTGGTTGAGGATATCATTTGGATTCATGGATAATCCACCAATCCACTTGATCCAATCCATGAATCCACCAATCCATTAGATCCAATCCATTTGATCCATGGATCCACCAATCCAATCCACCAATCCAATCCATTTGCCACCTCTACTCGGATGGGAGTGATTCTGGAGGAAGTTGTGTCTTGATTTGCTTTGCATCCAGGGTTTAGTGTTCGGTTTGTAGGTCGCAGTAACAATAGGGTAGCCTAGCCCATATGGTGGCTAGAAAGGCCCTTTCATTGTCACCAACTGCGAGTCGTTTGTTTGATTTTCAGACCTGGCTGATTTCCAGGATGTAACTATCCTTTTGGTGATTCTATATAATGAATATCTTTTGTCAAAAAAAAAAGTCAAGTCCACAACACCTAATTCTATGTGTGTTTGCTGTTAAGATCGAGAAATTTGTGCATAAAAAAATAATAGAGAAATTTGCAACACCAAAATAGATGAGATGCATAAAGACTAATTAACCCTTCCTAGCTATGCGGATAGGTCTGGAAAATTAGAATTGGGATGGTGTTGGCCAATAACGTCTATCCAATAGTGGTAGATATTTATCTCAATCAACCTTTTGCACCCCATAAGAAGGAGGCGCTCCAAATTCGGAGACCCTGATAGGTTTGGGACTGCTTCTAAATTTATACAGTGAGAGAGGTCAAGCGACACTAGATTCACAAGTTGTGGCTGCAAAACAACAAGAAGACTAAAGAGGCCATATGGTCAAAAACCAAAGGCACAGGAACCTTCCCCCGGCTTCTGCGCTCTGGGCGCTCTGTTTTTTATTTGGCAACGGAAATGGAATCTTCGGTTACTCGATTCGCCATCTCTGTCTTTTCAGATCCGACTACTCTCCTAATCTACTCTCTTGCTTACGCTCTTTCTTTTCTTTCCAAATCTCGTTTTTTTTATGCTTTGGAGTCTTGCTTCTCTTATGGTGCTGGTTCTTGAGTCGATTTCATCGGTTAGGGATTTCTTTTTAGGGTTGTCCTTGAGTTAGAATGCCTATTGTTTTTACATATATATGTTCTCCAATTTTCTCCTGCTTGTTGAGTGGTCTGTTGTTGGGTCTGTTTGAGTCCTTTCTACTGGTTTTTTAATTGTAGGCGTCTGGTTTATTTCTTTTTCTGGAGGTGTCTTCCTTTTCATGTCTATTAAATTTCTGGTTTTGTTCTTTCTTCTTTGCCATTTTTTTTTAGCTCCTTGTTTCACCTATGCTTCTCGCCTTGCTCACCTATCACCGTTTCTGGGCAAATTCTATTTGTTCTTCGGATTGATTACCCTATTGTAAACATATATGTCTACTATTTCATCGGACTATGATATAAAAAAAATAGTGGTAGATATTTAAATATATATTTGAAGAAATATATGATTTTAATTAAGTATTGACAAGTACATTTTGGTTTTTCAATTGCTTTTTTATAAGTATAAGCTAGAAAGTTTTGATGATGAACAAAATGATTGGGGGAGTGCCGGAGTGGCATGTTCTTGTGTAGGGATTTTTTGTTTGTTTGTACAGTTGTAGGGAAATTATTGATGAGGTGGAGTTGTGGTGTGGGCTTTGGACTGTATCTGGATTGGAAGAAACGATGAAAATTGAAAAGAATCAAATATAATGCGATTTTCATTTTTTACATGTTTGCCAATTTTTTTGGGATTAATATACGATAAGGTCGCCATGAGGAGGGCACATGCCGCATGAGATGAGCATGACTGTGCATGAGCCCCTAGGAAGAATCTAAGTACAGACATGTGAAATTCCTGAATGGCCCTTACTTTTTAGCTCCTAAATGCCTACCCCATATTTTGGTAGTTTACCCAATCACTCCAATTGGCTTTCCGATGCCTGTCTAACAAGGATTTGGTGTAATAGTAATACAATTAGTTTTTAATTTGAAGATTCTAAGTTTGAATCTTTTAAACAATACCCTAAGCTATAAAATAATAAACATATATCGCCTTATATAAAAAAGTAGTAAGCACATACCATGTTTTCATTTTTTGTTTGGCTTCAGACTATATTTGTTTTATAGGCATGAATCCCCCTAATAATCTGGAATTTTGCAAGTTATAATGCTCAAATCGTTGTTGTTAGATGCTCCTTGTTTAATTTGATGTCTAACATGAGGAATAATGTGATATTTTGCATAGTTTTATTGGCATCTAATTAATAGCATAATTTTGCTACGGCGACATGCATACCCTAATAGTATACATAAATGTTAGCACAATTTGACACAATTAATTAAAATTACACAGTATAATGATTTTAATCGTTAAATAGACGTGGTAATATCCCAACCAGCATGGAGCTTGATTGAGAGCTCGACGTGTGGGAAGGGACATTACACGTAATAGACCCACAGAGGTTTTCCACGTATCTAGCCATGCAGCCCATCTGATGACGAATATCCCAAACTCCCAATTCCATTTTTATTATTCCATCTTGGGATATTAAATTACATTGCATTGCATTACATTATCTTATATTATATGCAGTATTGAATTGTATCACCACTGTAATGTGAAAGCCATGAATGGTTGAATGATGGCAAAAAGTAACAGTTTCATAAGTCCTTCAATGCGTTCCTTTTTTTCTAATCCGGCTTTTTTCCTTTCCGAAAATTAGGGGTGTCAAAGTGAGGTATTGGGTTGAGTCGGGTTGCACATTTTTGTTATTTCCTATTTTAGTATTAGATTCTTTATTTTTATTCTTGGGTTGGTTAAATTGGTTGGGTTTGTTGGCTCTGATACCAAGGAATTTAATACCAAGACTCATGATGTTATACTCATGATGTTATATAAAGATTCTTGCCAAAGAATAAGATACCAAACAATTGATATATATGCATGGTCTTTCTTACGTAACTTTGTTTTTTTCGGGATTTGTTTATTCTTCATGGAAGAAGATAGTGGCATGACTTCAACCAATACAATTGTGTGTTTTGTAAAGAGATTTTTCAGTTTTTCTAACTGAGTTTTAATTATTCATTAGTTTTTGTTTTATTTTAGTTAGACTAGTTATTATATCGATAATTAATTCGATTTTAGAAACAATTTTTTCTAATGCCTCGGTAGTTCCAATACTCATTTGTTCTTCTACAATATCTGAGACAAAGTATGATAGTTCTAGTGTAACCATAGTGATGTCATCTATTGAAGTAAGATCTATAATGTCTATTCCTTCTATTAACTTATTTATATGGTGAGTATTAAGCATTTTAATGAAGTATTTATATCTTATCTTTTAATTCTAGGATTAATTCTTGTAACTTCTTTATTTCACTATCGTTATCATTTTGATGAAGTATCGTAATATTTTTTACCTCTTCTTTTTCTTCTTGTTCCTCTTCTTTTAACTTGTTTGTTATTCTTCTAGAGGGGTTTCGTCCATCTAGGCTAATTCTTGGATTAATATAGTTTGATTTAGTTATTTTTATAGGGGATTCTAAATGTATTAGTGGTTTAAATAAATCTTTTATGGTAATAGCTTATTTATCCTTGAATGCTAAACTATGATGACTATTGGTTAAGGCGTAGTTTATTTGATATATTACTGAAAATGGTTTGCTATTTTCTCTCATAAAATTTTCTCTTTTTAATTCATATTTTATTATAATTGAGGACCGGTCCGGGCAGTACACGGTGAAGTCAGGGTATCGTTTAGCGATGAGGTTGAACAAGGGCCAGTGGAGGGGCAAGTGTGAGGTTTCTTGGATGGACCCAGTCCTTTGGGGGAAGTTGTGGAATCTCAGAATTCCGCCGAAGCTTAAGTTCTTCATGTGGCAGGTCATGAACAGGATTTTGCCGACTGTGGAGGCCTTTCTTGTGCGAGACATTGAGGTGGAGGAGCGGTGTCCGGTGTGTTGGCATGAGGTGGAGGATTTGGAGCATTTGTTCCTCCATTGCCCGGTGGCGAGGGATTTGTGGGCGGATTCGGGATTGGAGGATGTTCGGGCTAGGTTGCCAGTGGAGAATGTGGGCTTGATGGTGCGTAGGCTGCTGGACGAGGTGTCCGATGAGGGGATCCTGATGCGGGTCATTTCTATGCTCTGGAGGGTGTGGAAGTCTCGCAACTGGGTTGTTTTCGATGGATGCCAATATCAGAGGGTGGTCTTATGTAACCAATGGTGTATCCAGGTCGACGAATGGCGGCATGCGAATGGTGCGGGGGAAGGGAGCCGCAGGGATCACAGGCAGGGGGCGGTAAGTAGGAGGGATCTGTGGCCGCAGGATGTGTCTTGGGTGTGCTCCTTTGATGGGGCAGTGCGCGAGGGATCTCATTCTGCGGTTGGGGTGGTGCTGCAAGGGCCGGATGGGGTGGTGGTCAGGGCGATGGGAAGGGGGTTGGCTGGTCTTACTGACCCAATGCTTGTGGAGTTGATGGCGCTTCGGGAAGCGATCTTGTGGTGTCGGGCGATGGGATGTGTTACAGGAGGTTCAAGGAATGCTGGCGGCTGGTTTAGGGGAGAAGCTTCGATTTGTAGGCAGGGATAACAATAGGGTAGCCCATAGGGTGGCTAGGAAAGCCCTTTCTTTGTTTCCCGCTCTTATTGAGGGGTTCGATTTTTGCGTTTGGCTCCATTCGGAGTTGTAATCGTTTGTGATCTTGAGTTCTTGGTAATGCAAGCTATCTTTTGTTAAAAAAAAAAAAAATTAGTTTGCTCATTGATTTTCTTAATATCTACGATACCGTCTGAGAAATAGTTTTCTTCTTCATTCTTGTTTAAATAATCAAAATAATTTTTACTAGTACTAGGGTTATCAGACATACCCGGTTCTTGTTTAGTTGGAATGGTTTGTTCCTTGTTGTTTAACGTCTTCATGTACTACAGGAAAATCCACCTTCAATAACGGGAATTCCCGTGACGAAACAACCAATTCCCGCAATGGAAGACATTGTCACGGGAAATACGCGTGACAAGCGTGCCCGTGATTGAAGGTCCATTATCATGGGAAATCCCATGACTAAGAAAGATCCAATAACGGGAAAACCCCATGACAAATTATCAATTTGGTAACAGTATTTCCTGTTACTAATCTTTGAACACGGGAAATTTTCCGTGACAAATTTATAAAATAGTCACAGGATTTCCCGTGACTAATTGGGTTACTTGTCACAGGATATTGTCCAATAGTCCCGAAATGTAATGAGCGCGACCAAGCTAGAGCAACTTGTTTTGTCTAAATAGTATCGGGGAACCCATAATCGTTTGTCCTTACTAATCACAGGTATCCATCACTTATCACGAGAGAAATCATGCAATAGTTACAAGATGAATTCTTGCTTGAAACAGTTAAGAAGCCTGAGAACCATATATCATTCACTCGTCAATGTTGATCAACAACTAAGAAATATAAAGTCACATGGAACTTATCTAATCAAACATATCACAAACACCAAATATTTCAACAAAACAAGCTTGAGTAGTTTATGTCTTTCTTCAAAATAAAATTGCCATTGCACTTGAAAACGTGCAAAGTTGGACTACTCTTCTCTTGCTTCACCCTTCTTTCAGCCATTCTCCTTGCCTTGCACTTCTGAATTATAAAAGAGAAATAAAAAAATTAGATTAGCTGAATAACACTACCAACATGTGACAAAACTAAGAAACATTAAAACATCACATTCATTCATATACTTATACATAAGGGATCATAATAAGACTAGAGCTAATAAAAAGTCAGCAACACTCTCCAAATAACAAAATACAACAACTCTATAAAGAATAGAAATTATGTATGTAAAGAACATATACATTGAAGTGTTAATTTACAGAACATTTCCTCTACTTGAACTGTATGTAAAATTATAGTTAAGAAATGCATACCAAGGGCTGATTAGTAACAAAAGCCTCTTGTCGGGACCTAACTGAGACAAACCGCGTGTGGACAAGATTTTTTTTTTTTTTTTGGAAATAAGCCTGCAAGCACAAGTCTCCTTGTCAATCCATCTTATCTCAATAGAGTGGGATGTTCTGGTAACTGGTACCTATTGAAAACCAAGCGAAGTCAGATTTCAAGAAGCATTAAGGATAGACATATTGGTAGAATACATCATCAACAGATAATACACAAAATTCTCAGATATTGTATGATCATACCTGGAGTTAGAACATAAACAAGTCTAAGCATTGAGCATAGCCAAAATGGATAAAGTATATAGGTTCAATGCAATTTCAATTCACTAAGGATCATAACTCATAAATCAAAAGGCTGAACTGCATTTGCCTAGTCCTCTAGATAGGTGTACAACAAACAATGATATAATTAGTGCAGAAGTGATTACTTCAAAGAAAGCTAGTATTTTTTTAAGAAAATTTTCCTGCATACAATTCAATGGTACTAGACAGGTAGAAGAGAACACAAGCCAACAAGTCTCATTGTGAGAGAATGGTAGCAACAACTGCCTCGTCCAGGCCCAAGCCGATGTGTTTACACTGAAAGAAGATTGTTCCAAGGTGAGGTGAGGATGCATACCCCCAACAAGATACAAAGCAAACAAAACAAAAGGACAAGGAGATAAAGGGTTCAATTTGCTGCAGGTTAGTTGAGTAGAATGGGCAATTCAATTAGTCTATCTACCCCTAATCCTTAAACGTGTTGTAATATTAATTTCCATCAAGGTTTAAGGTGGGGTTTCAATTGATTATGCGGCCATGTAACAACAATTGGTTATGGGATAATAATCTGTCTATCCCTAGGTCACAAGCTGTAATTAAAAATAGCATAACAGAGCTACAAATAGTCTAAAATAGAAACAGGGGAGGACTTACCTAGTGGCCCATGAGATACAGAGGCCGACGAGATGCAGAAGCACCAGTGAACTAATAGTGTCAAGCAAGAGGTAAGAAGATGAATCTGATAGATTGAGATTGAAATTAAGAGATGATAGAGAGCAAGACACATACTCGCAGACTCATAAAGTGAGAGATGTCGACAGTTACTTAGCGGTTGGGTAAGGGAGAAGACAATCGACTGTTTTTTTCCATGTTCGCAGAGCAGAAACCTTACTTCATCACCGCTTACTCGATAATTTGAATGCCACAGTGCCGTCTAGGGGCACTTCCCCTATCGAAGCACATAACATGTTTTCTTCTCCGCTTACAGCAATCGCAGCTTTATTAAGCGCCTAGTTGCACTTTCTTGAGCCCTAATATATCCCTAGCTCACATAGGCGAGTAGCTAGATTATGAGTCAAGAACCAAAACCAAATAGAAGATGAAGGCGATGGACGCAAGGAGATTTTCAGCAGACGTAAAATGGAACCCAAAACAAGGGGTTGAGCTGACTGAAATGAATAAAGAGTCAATACTGAAGCATAATCTAGCCATCCTTTTGCTCTCTTGATAAATGGAAATATGGAGAGGCGGAGACGCTAGTCGGCATACCTGGTTTCAAAATCCTTCCCTTCGCGACCGATCTGGAATTCACCAGTTCCTCAAAACGGTGGAGATATTCCACTTTACCGGCGAAGGGCCCCATTCGGTTGAAGGAAGTAAACCTTTCGCAATCCTTCTCCACACCTTGATCCGAACTTCAACAATACTAGAAGATGAGTGAGCCGCGTTCCTTTTATCGGCGATGGAACGATTAGATTGAATGAAGAATATCTGCGATGGGCAAGATTGGGATGGGGAAGGAATAAGGAGGTCGAGGATGCGTCTTTGAGCTAGGGATTTCATTTTTGTGTGTGTGGTAGAGTTGAACTAGGGATTTTGGTAAAGCCAAAAGTAGAAATAAGCTCTTGTTTTAATTTTTTTTAAATGAATTTGGGTGTTTCACTTTTCTTTCTTTTTGGAGCCAAAACGTGTTTCTCTTTTCAACTTTTGGAGCCAAAACGAAAAGATTGGAGCCAAAAGCATTCCGCCAAATATTTTTGTTTCATTTGTCACGGGACGTTCAAAGATAATAATAACGGGTTTTTATCCCATTACCAATAAAGGCTATCTGACTTAATTAATTATGGGAATTATTTCCCGTGACAATTATTCAACGTTTAGTAACGGGAAAATCCCGTAATAATAATCCCATCATGAAAGATCAATTTTCTTGTAGTGATGGTGATGCTAAGTGAAGAATGCTGGTGATGATCGTTGGAGTTGCGTTTGGGAAACTTTGTAGGTTTGATGATTTTTGCTGTGTGGTTTTTTTTATGGGGGATAAGAGTGTCTCCAGAGTATTACCTCAAACACTCAATGTCTAAGCACCTCATGCAATTCTTCGAAATTGAGTCGGCTTTATGATGCAAGGAAACATGACATGGCCACTAGAACTCACCCCCCCCCCCCCCCCCCCCCCCCCCAAGTTGTACTCAACATAGAAGTATCTTTCTCTTTCTTTCGACTAAGCTAGAAATTGAGATACATGTTTGTTCCCCTTTTTCGGCTACATTTCGACGTAGAATTTTGAGTTCTCTTTTTAACTTTTGTGACGGACACTATTCATTTTGTTTAGAAAATTTGTTATTTTAACATAGCCCGGTTATACATGATACACTATAAAATGGTTATCTGTCCAAAAGGCATAGTCAAAAGCTAGTTGGTTTTAAAAGTTGTTTCTTATGAGATCCTGTAAGTTGTTGAAATCATTTCATTCAAGAGAGTTTATAACAGAATCTCACTAGAACAACTTTTTGAATATTTTTTCTCTCCATTTTCGTACAACTCATCTCTAAACCTTATTTCCAATATTATTTCCATATCCTTTTCTCCCTCATGTCTAGGTATGTCAATTGGGTGAGTTTGGCGCAGGTTTTCCTAAACCATTCTCATATCCATGAGGGTGGGGTTTTTCAACCCCATACCACGTTTTGTGCGTACCCATTGGTATTATCCTTCGCTATGATCCAATATGACTATACCTAGAATTCAACATGATCCCTATATTTTCTTTTTTCGAATTACCCTATCATCTATGTGTTACAATATAGTCCATGTATTTTTTATATATAAAGAAATACTCTTGGTGTGGCGAATATGAGTATGAGACGAGTAGTGATAACGATGTAATTGCACATGATTGCACCCCTAGTTCTTATTCGTTTGCGGGGCGTAGTCGTGTATTTTTGGCCTATTTTACGCCGGGTTGTGCTATTTTGTCATATTTCAGGTCCCAAACGTCGAAGGAAAGGCTACACACGAGTTTCGGGGCATTTGGAAGTCATTCGGTCGAGCTGGGGCCAAAGCACAGGCTTGCCTAAACCAAAACACAGCCGTGTACACAAACATGCACGCTAGTGTTTTTATTGCCGAGAGCTGAACTGATGGAAAAGCAAAACACGGGCTGGCCTAAATCAAAACACGGTCGTGTCCATGTTTAGGCACGACTGTGTTTTGGCCGACGCGGGCGTGTTTTTAACACGGGGCAAAACACGGGCGGGCAAAACCAAAGCACGGCCGTGCCCTCGACCGTGTTTTGCCCAGGGTCGGCCTTTTAGGCAGATTTGAGCCAAAGGAGAAGGGGTTCCGAGTTTTAGAGAGAGAGAGCAATTCCTAGAGAGAGAAAGCGACGAACCAGAGTTCCCAAGTGCCCTAGCTTGATCTTCATCATCATTGGAGCCCGACTTGAGCTTGGAGAAGTGCCTATTGACGACCAGGAGCAGAAACCCATCCTTCACAGTATGGTTTCCGCATCTGAATCTGCTTTTGCTTCTCTCTCCATGGAGTAGTTTTCCCATTCATCTGGGTATGGAGAACCCTAGATTTGTATGTTAGGTCTGATTGTATGAACCCAAGTACAGATTCTATGATTTGATTATATTCAATTGAGGTTTGAATGATTGAATGGCATGAATCCTGATCAAATCCCTGTTGTTTCTGCTTTAACCTAGAAAGAGAATATCTGCCTAGGTTGATAGAGCACCCTTAATTGAAGGTGGTGAATTGGCGACTTTAGTCGAGGAGCCAATTCACTATTCTGTACCGGAGTTACTTCGGTAGTGGAGGTTTTGTTCGTTAGGGCCTCAATCTGTTTACTCCGGTGGAGGTTAGTCGCCCGCTGGAGACTCAAATTGAGAGGTTCTGGAGACCTTTAGTCGAGATTTCAGATTGTTTAAGAACCTTCCGCAGTATAACTATCATAAAACTGAACTTGGTATGCCGAGCCAGCAGCAGCCCTGGCTCCAGATGATCAGATGACAGAGCTGAAAAACATTCTAGCGGCATTCATGACTACCACCCAGGAAACTTTCACAAGGATGGACCAGAGCATAGCCTCACTAGAGGCAGGCCAGAGGAACCAAGGTGCCATTTTGCAAGATTTACAGAACCAGATGGGTAGCATGGCTCGCCAAATTAATACCCGAGCCCCGGGAACTCTACCTGCCACTACCATCCCCAATCCATGGGAGCCACACCAACAGCTGAATGCCATCACCACCAGGAGTGGCAAGTCCACATCGGCGGTACATGCACAAGCTAGGGAGGAAGAGCCACTTCCTGCTTCAGCACTTCCAGCCGATTATGTAGAAGTGAGGGTGGAGAAGGAAGCCCCTGCTCCCAAGCCACAACTAGTGGTTAAGGAGCATGTACCCCAACTTCCCTTCCCCACTCGACTATATAAAGATAAGCTGGAGACTGAGTTTGCCAAGTTCATGGCAATGTTGAAGCAGCTCGATGTCAACATACCCTTCATGGAGGCACTGTCGAAGATGCCCAAGTACGCCAAGTTCATGAAGGATCTCCTCAGCAACAAGAAGAAACTTGGGGGTCTTTCGACAGTGATGTTGAGCGAGGAGTGTTCTGCCATCTTGCAGAATAAGCTGCCCAAAAAGCGCAAGGACCTAAGGAGTTTCACTATCCCTCTTAATATTGGTAGCATGCAGGTAGGGAAGTCCTTGGCGGACCTAGGCGCTAGCATAAATGTCATGTCATACAATCTGTTTAAAAAGCTAGACCTAGGTGAACTTAGCCCTGCTAGGATGAGCATTCAGTTAGCTGATCGCTCTATTGTGCATCCTAGAGGATCTGCTTATTAAAGTAGGCGCATTCACATATCCTGTTGATTTTGTTGTTCTGGATATAAATGAGGATGTGGATATGCCTTTGATTTTTGGTAAACCATTTCTTGCCACCACCAAGGCACTAATTGATGTGCATAGTGGTAAACTGATCTTGCGTGCTAGGAATGAACATGCTACTTTTTCTGTGGCTGACCGTGATCATTGTGATATGTCTGCTGTCACACCTATGCATGCCATTTCTCACCAGGTAGACGAGCCTGTCGTGTACCCCTCTGTGCATCTCGTGTTGCAGGATTTCCCTCTCACGCGTTCGCCGCCACCCCATTCAACCTCACCTGCAAATAAAAAGATCAAAGAAGAGTGGCGGCCGAAGCCGCAAGTGGCTAAGCCTGCACGGAAGAAAGGTGGAGACCACTATGAGCTGGTTCCACCTCCTGCACCACAACCACCCTGGCCATCCGATTACTCACTCGCCTGCATCTTGCCGGATGGCCAGGTCGAGCTGACCAATGCTGGTAGTCGCGCCCGTCGGGTGCATGGTCACCATCTAAAGTTGTACCTCAAGAGCGATGTGGATCCGCTCTTGGGGGCACCTGTTCCTGCACCCCGCTGAGTATCCACCATGGGCGTCCAGCTAAAAGACGGTAAAGAAGCGCTTGTGGGCAGGCAACCCCACCATGGTTTGCATTTCTACCCTTTTTCCTTTTCATTTTTGTCGGTTTTTGAGTCTTGGGGACTCCATGTTTTTGTTGTTTCGTTTTGTTTTTTTTTATTTTTTATTTTGGATTGTAGACTTGGAACTCCGGTTCTTTCACCCAGTGTGTGTCTTTTGTTGACTTTAGCTCTGTGCCTTGGACTGGTTCCACTTCCAGTCCCCTGCTATTGACTGGTCTGCCTCCCAGTCCCCCGACGATCTCATTTCACGGTAACATTGTTCCCCTTCCCTCTGCTCCATTGAGGACACTATCGCATTTAAGTGTGTGTGTGTGTGGGGGGGGGGGGGGGGTTCTTTGTATTAATTGAAACGTATATATGTGTGCTTAGAGCCTAGTCCGCTGTCCAAATCTCGAGATTTGAGGGCTCCAAGTACTGCTGTTTGCTTGATGTTTGATCGTATTGGCACTGTGGATGTGATTGGGGAATTGAATGGCTTTTGACCTAATGCATGACAACTTGAGTGTGACTAAGACAACTTATTATGATGACTGAGATGTGCAGTAGAACTGTGTAGGGGTTCAGTTTTTCAACTGTTTGCTTACCAACTGTAACTTGGATTGATCACTTGCTCTTGACAGTCATTTATGCATCTAGTTCAGGGAATCAGAATGAGAGATAGAGCATATAGGTAGCCATGTGAGATTTGAGCCTGCTCTTTTCTTTCTTGTGCGATAGTTCCATCTTCCATGATGTGCAGCATTCACGTTGTCATTAGCTAAGATGATGGAGGCATAGGATTAGCCCACGACCAAATTGACTGTCCTGATGTGTCATACCCCCTAGCCAGCCCCTTGAGCCGTATGTTATCCTTTTTTTCGGTCTACAATGGAAAATCACCCTTTTGCATCTTTTAGAAGGTTCCACAGAGTGGTTTTTACATGTTCTCTACTGTTTCTGCTAAATATAATGTGAGGGTTGGAGGTAGTTTTAAAAAGTTGGGCATGTGTTTGAAAAATGTGCATAGGTGGTGGTTCTCTCAAGAAATGAAAAAAAGAAAAGAAATGAAGTAAAAAATGAATGAAAGCAAAAGAGAGCCACCACCACAAAAATATGAATA